CTGTATTGCCACCATGTGATTAGGTAACTGAGCTGTCAATCATGCTAGATATCGTGTTTAGACTTTATGCTGATATTGTTAGGACCCATAGTGGTCGTTTCTTGCTGTCATCTCACTGGTTTCATTGATATTTCGTACTCGGTCATATTCATGAATTCATATCATATCTCAGTCTCAGTTGTTGTTTATTGATGCATCATATAATTGTTGTCGGGCTAGTTTCATGACATTGTGAGCCCGTGAGTGAGACTGGAGAGATTGATGACTGAGTGAGGCTGAGGGACAAATTGTGAGGTTATTGATACTATAGCACACGAGTTGTCTGTGCAGCACGTGAGTTATCCGTGCAGATTCTGATATTGAGACTATAGCACGTGAGTTGTCCGTGCAGCACGTGAGTTGTCCGTGTGGATTCTGATATTGATACTATAGCACGTGAGTTATCTGTGCAGCACGTGAGTTGTCCGTGCAGATTATAGCGCTTCGGCTGAAGGAGCCCCTCCGGAGTCTGCACACCCCCAGTGAGTGCAGTCGACTATGTATATATATATATATATATATATATATATATATATATATATATATGTTGTGGTGTGTGTGTGTGTGTGTGTGTGTGTGTGTGTGTGTCTGTGTGCGCGTGCGCGTGTGTGTATGGATCGGGTTGCACGCCTCAACGAGTACTGTACAGTGCTGAGTGATTGAGTGTGCTGAGTATTGAGCAAGGTAAGAGATAATGCGAGACAGTGAGGTTGAGTACTCTGAGAGTGTGAGTACATGAGTTCATCACTGAGAGGCATTGCATTTGTCATACATACTTGAGAGACATGTATAAAGATGCATTTTCCTTTTTGTTGCCCGGTTTTGGTGGCATTCATGGTTTTTACCTGTATCTTGACATGCAGGCACAGAGATGTACTTTCCTCATGCTATCCGAAAATAAAAAATTTACCTTATGAAAAGTTTTTGGGAAAAAGTTATAATTTTCAAACTTACTCATATTTTTGACGATTTCGGTAAAGGATTTGGCTTTTCACTGATATACTTGAAAAGCGGAACTGTTTTCGGAAACTATGAAAATGCTGAGCATTTTATCTCTGAGCTACTTCTTTATTTACTTGCTTTACACTGTTATGAACTGCTATTGGTTATTGGTGTTGGACCCGACCTATGTTCCAGCTCGTCACTGCTTTCAACCTAAGGTTAGGTTTGTTGCTTATTGAGTACATGTGGTCGGTTGTACTCATACTACATTTCCTGCACATTGCGTGCAGAGTTCGGATGCCGATGTTGCTGTGCATTACGGGTGCTGGATTCGAAGGTGTACCTGCATCCCTGTTGTAGCTGCCTCTTGTTCATGGTAGCCTTAGATTATCAAACTTTGTTTATGTACTTCTCAAACAGAATGTATTTACTTCATATCAGCTTTGTAAACTCTATTCTTAGAAGCTCATGATTTGTACTACCAGTCCTTGGAAAATGTATAAGATTCAGATAACTTCTTTGTTTAATTGTCTTAAATATTATTGAAACTGAATAGTTATTAGTTGGCTTACCTAGCGGGTTGGGTTAGGTGTCATCACGACTAGTGGATTTTGGGTCGTGACAGACGCTATATATTTCGGGATATAATATATATATATATATATATATATAGAGCATGATGATGCTGATATGGCATACATCCTTACTAATATGTTCCACAAAGAATGACATATTTTTACAGTTAAAAAATTTAACTTTAAACTTTTCATTTTTCTTTTTTTATCATTAATGAGAAGTTTTTATAGTTACACAAATGTTGTTGCCACATAAAGCTTTACCCTTTATACTTTAAAGACCATAAGTTTTAATTATTTTTTATATTAAATATTGTGTGGAGTCAAAATATGCCATATAAATTGAAAGGGATAGAATATTAATTTCGGAAATTACAGGTGCAGTTTGATTTGAGTGGTTACATTAATTCTATTAGCAAGCCGTAAACTGCTTATTTTATATAACTTCATTCACATGGATCATGTTTTTGTCCGTTAGTGTATGCATCCCTTTTCGAAAACGATGCGATTAGTTGGTTCCTGAAACTATTTTTCTAATAATGATAATGAATTATTTTCTTTTGGCCTAAAAAGATGAACTATTTTTCTTTTAAAAAGCATATATTTATTACACTCACTTTAATTAATTATTTTGGAATCTTAGATAAAGAAGAAGAAGAAGAAAGAATCAAAAAAAGAAAAGAAAAGGAAACGCATACAAATATATGTTGCTATACCAAATAATCGCAATGCACAAATTGGTCATTCACAAAGTGAGATTTAACTAAAAGGAGCCAATTGTGTAAAAATAATGAGGTACAAAAGAATAATAAGAAAGGACCACATATCTATTACTTAATCAACTTGGCCGTATTTTTGAATTTTAACTAGAATTATAGTAATATTTCCTATTTGCAAAACAAAAAATGACACCACTTAAATCATAATACAGTCACAAAAATGTCCAAACATAAATAAAAGGCAAAATACATAGTTTACCCATCGAACTTACACCGAAATCCCTGTTACACACCTTTTCTTCATGAGAAATCTTTTACACACTCGACCTTTCAAAAGTGTGTCTAAGACACACCTATTCAGTGTCTGACCATTTTTTTCTCAACAAGTGTAGCCACGCACCAATAATAATTTAACACGTATTATTGACTTTTTAAATAAAAAATATATTTCAATTTACAATTATATCCATCTTCTTCATCTTCCCCAAGCTATACCACCATGGCTGTCCCCTCCCAAGTGAGTACTTCTGCACCAGCATCAACCATGATTTTTTTTTTTTTTTTAGTTTCAATTTTTAAAATATTAGGATGATATTGAATTTCTATCATCATTACCAATTAAATATTTCCCTAAAATTATTTGTATCATCCTTGACTTAACTGATATTGAGTACCAGACTATTTATACCAACAACAATAAGACCAGAAAAGAATTAATGAAAAATTTCCAACCCATCCATGACTGAAATGGAAGAAACTCCACGAATCCAGTACCCGCAAATCCTCACGACACATACGAAGAGCTCCATGAATTTTTCTTTCAGATTTGGCCACTCACCAAGCGCACCCGTGACACAGTCATTCAATAATTCACTATGTTGAATGTTAAATTTTAATTTTCTTATCCTCCTTTAATTCTTGGCAATAATATTTGTTGGTATGGTGGTAGAAGAAGGTGATGGTGCAATAATTGAAAGAAGATGAAAAAGACTTGGTAGAATTTTTTCTAAAAACGAAAGAAAATAATTTAGAAAAAATGAGAAAATGAAAAGGCTGGAAAAGTGGCGTCAAAATGAGACTTTAGACATAAAATTTTAATTGTCCACTCGCCACTTATATGTGTATAACACGCGAGTGACACATAATAAAATTGGTGCGTCTTAAACAGACTTTTGAAAGGTTGAGTGTGTAAAAGGTTTCCCGTGAAGAAAAGATGTGTAACAGGGATTTGAGTGTAAGTTCGATGGTTAAATTATGTATTTCGCCTAAATAAAACTCCAATCTAAATTTATATATGTAAGTGTTAAAATATAAAATATATACATGTTTAATTAAAAATAACTTCAATACAGATAAAAAATAAAAAATATTACATAAGAAAGCACTCAAAGCCCATCTTCATCTGAATCTGAAAGAAGAGGAGTTGGTAAATGTGACGTGGGAGATTGACGTCTTCCAGTTCCTTTGCTCTGCACACCAAATAAGTATCTGAAACTTGAGATTTCATTCTCCCTCCACATCAACAGTCTCCTCACTCTCATTTTTCGCTTTCATCTGTTGCGCTGAGTTCATACATTAACTTAGAACGAAAATGTAAGTGCCAACCTGCAAAAATAAAATTCTGACTTAGAATTACGTTTCCTATGTTTTGGTGAATGTGATTTTTGTGTATAATTTTGGGGTTTTCTTTATTTGGTATGTTCAGGGAGGGTGAACTGAAGCCCATGGATGCAGAGCAACTGAGAGAATATGGTCACAAAATGGTGGATTTCATTGCTGATTATTACAAGAATATCGACAACTTTCCTGTTCTCAGTCAAGTTCAGGTTTTTCTATAACTACTCTTCAATTTATTTCCCCTTATTATTTCCCATGCACAATCCTTTTACTCGCCAAGACGTCTGAATCTGAATACATTGTGGTGAATTTACTAGAAATTAACAAACCTATTTTGAATGATATTAGTAAAGCTCACTCTTTTTAGAATACATACATGTCTTACTATCCTAGTTGGTCAACATAGGAGAAATCATCGTTCATCCTAAGAATTCTGTTTAGTTGTTACTAGTCAGTTATTGATTGTTTCCACGCCTTATCTTTGCACAGCCCGGTTATCTACGTAAGCTACTTCCTGAAACCGCACCTGCTCATTCTGAGACATTGCAAGAAGTTCTTGAAGGTGAAATATCTAATAATTTTGTGTATAATTGAAATTATTGAATCATTTGACCTCTCGTGTCGTCTTAAAAAGAAAGGATAGCAGGCTTGTAATTTGGATCTCGTGCCATTTGATCCAGATGTTCAGACAAAAATATTACCGGGGGTGACTCATTGGCAGAGCCCAGATTACTTTGCATATTTTCCTTCTAATAGTAGTGTAGCTGGATTTTTGGGGGAGATGCTCAGTGCCGGGATTAACATGGTTGGTTTTAGTTGGATAACTTCCCCAGCAGCAACCGAGCTCGAAATGATCGTTTTGGATTGGCTTGCTAAAGCACTTAAGTTGCCTGATGAATTCCTTTCAACAGGTAATGACCCTTGTCTTCCACTCACTCGAAAAAGTCAAATTGTAGATATGCGTGCAAAACATTTGTAAATATGAATCTTTTATTTGGCACTTATTGGAACAAGATGAAAATTTGATATCACAGGCAACTTCTCTTTGAGCACACTTTATCTTGAGTTTTGGTTAAAAGTTGTGTACTAGAAAATTGAGATAGGCGAAAAGCTAGGAGGGAATAGAACCTTACTTTTATAAACTGGTTGGAAGATGGATGATCAACTTATATATGTCCACCGTTTCCAAAAGACATCTTTGCTACGGTCAACCAGCGGAGTTGATTGGCCATACAAAATGGTTTCCTTTTGTTGAAATTGACTTTCAGGTCAAGGAGGTGGAGTCATACAGGGCACTGCAAGTGAAGCTGTTCTAGTTGTGCTTTTAGCTGCCCGGGACAAGGTTCTGAGAAGGGTCGGAAAAGATGCAATTGGAAAACTGGTGGTCTATTGTTCTGATCAAACTCATTCTGCTTTACAGAAAGCTTGCCAGGTATATGTCAAAATTGTTTGACGTTGTGCATGATTGCTAATTTACTTGACAAAAGAGGTAACAAGGAAAGGTTGAGGATGAAAAGAATTCACGTTCGGTTCACCAATATTTATCTGCATCAAACATGCGAAAAAGGATGTTTTTCTGCAAATAAAAGTTTTTTTCTCTAACCCACTGGCTTCGTCTTTGAGATTAGTTACTTTTCGTTTCTTTATTGTGGCAGATAGGAGGAATTCATCCTGAGAACTTTCGGATGCTGAAAGCAGTCTCATGCAGGGATTATGCTCTTTCTCCTGACGCACTTTCAGAAGCTGTATCACATGACCTGGCCACTGGTTTAATACCCTTCTTCTTTTGTGCTACTGTAAGGAGAATAGAAAAAAGAAGATACCATGTATATCTTCCAAACCATGTCTTCAAATGTATTAGGAAAAGAACTTTTTTCTTCGGTTTACTTTTTGGGTCTCTTTCATTTCGTGTAAGATGCTGCATAGCCCTTAGGTCTCATTGACAAGATAAGACTGCAAAATCCTGTTCAAGAAAAGAGAAAGTAAAGCATTAAATCCAGCTCAAAACTTTGATGACGTCAAATAGTTATCACTTTACTTTGTTAGGATATAGGTATCTTGAACTTAACTTCGAGTTTGAGACTTTTTAAGGTTGTCCTAACCTTTTAGTATACATATTCGTTTACATTTTAAAAAAATTGTAGTTTCTGTATTCATTCCTTTCAGTGAATTACGAAGCTATTTATATTGGCTTGTCAAGTAAGCATATGGTGATTTCTGTATTGATAACATCAATAAGGACCCTTTCTCTCATTTACAAAAAGTAAAACTTATCTCGGTGATTTTCCATGCACAAGTGTTCGTTTACTTTTGTTTATGTGACAGTAAGTTGGTTGAGATATAAGTACTTTGAGATGTGAGACATCACGAGTGTGAGCTTGGTTATAGTGTTGGATGCAAATTGTTGGTAATCAGTCCTTAGGAATTTATTCAGATGTGTGGAAAGCATAAAACAGTAAATTTAGTACATAAAATTAATGTGTAGTAAAAATTGAAGGATGCCACATTTTGAAATTTTCTAACATCTCTTTTGCTTGTTTTGACATGTAATTTCCTTGCTGTGGATTCTAAAATGCTAAAGCAGTCTTTTGCTGTTCATTCACAGATTGGTACAACATCTTCCACTGCTGTGGATCCTTTGCTTGCGCTGGGAAAGATTACCAAGGTAAAGCATAGTAAAAGGGGTTGGACATCATGAGGGGAGAATCTGTTACGGGGGATAATTTATTTAGCTTATAGGCGAAGAAAGGAAGTATGGCCATTTCTCAAATTAGGGCTGGCCATTGGTTATTTCAGTCTGCTTCGTTTTATTCGATCTCAGTTTTCAGTTTTTAGATGGGCAAACCAAGAAGTTCAATCTTTTTCACTTGGATCGTTTTGACTGTTGGGTTTTTCAGTGTTGGGACTTGGAATTTTCACCTTGGTTTTAAATCTTTTCTCTGCTGCTTCCTCATTATACCTTGTGGACCGACAGAATCGATATATAATCTCTAAGATATTCCTTATTATCTACATTTAGTCATTAATTGCACCATTCATCATATTTTATGTATAAATTTGAATTTACATACTTCAAGTGTATATTTTTAATTCTGTTTGTCATAACTTTAGTTCTCTGCTTTGGGTCGAATCAGAAAACGAAGTTTTCAGGCCGGTCGTTTTTTCCTGTTGCATATAACTCACCACTAGCTCAGATATTAACTTCTCTAATTATAAAGGTCCAAAGGTGTACTTGGATGCTCTAGAGTGAAGCTAAAATGCTGCTTTTTAGTTGTAACCATGAAACAACAATGTTAAGTGTCCAACAACTTTAGGTACACTAAACTTTCCCTCTATTGTGATTGATAGACTTCTTTACATAAATCCACAGAGAAACAAAAAAAATGGCAGCCGGTGCACTAAGCTCTCGCTATGCGCAGGGTCCGGGGAAGGGCCGGATCACAAGGGTCTATTGTATGCAATACTGTATTTGTTGCTCACTACCAGCTCAAGTATTCCAGACCCCACTGGTGGGATTCCACTGGGTTGTTGTTGTTGTTGTTGTACTAGCTCAAGTATTCAGAACTTCACTTCAAGATGCCACACTAAATTAAAACCATAACACATAAACAGATAGGGTTTAGCCTCACTGGTGTCAAGCACAAACCATATGCGTTATGCCCAAAGCTACATAAACACATAACTTGTATATGTTGTGGAGTAGATTATGGAAGCATCTCATACTTCTCTGTGTCCGCTCCTGTAAGCCATTTAATGATCCTTTTGATTCTTGAACTCAGTTTCTTAAGTATTAATGATTTTGTATCAGATGTTGTAATTATCAGCAGTGGTGAAACCATGTTGTTTTGCATCATTGCTAGTGTCCATACAGTTAGTGTCTAGTCCATTGGGTAGTGTGTACGCAGACCTTACCCCTACCTTGTGAGGATAGAGAGGCTGTTTTCAATAGACCCTCGGCTCAGGAAAGTATATGCACCACATTAATGAAAATATAGAGAAGAAGGGAACTTCACAATCACTTAATAGCTCTGAATAGGTCGATATGATTAAGATCTATAACAGAGACTTAATTTCTTTAAGATGCTATCATCCATATTCATTATTAAGTGCTGTCACCACCTACAATTATCAACTACCACCATGCTACCCACCACCACCATACTCAACCACCACCACCACCATCCTCAATCATAGCTGCCGCCATCATCAACTACCACCACCCACCATCCCCTCCACTCCCACCAACATCTTTCTCAACCACAACAAAAACTCATCCACCTCAACTACCACAACTAACCACCCCATCACCATCAACAAACATAGCCGGCACTGCTTGTCATTATACACCACCATCACCCGCTACCACCTTCCTCAATCACAACCACCGGCACCACCTGCCATTATTAACTGTCACCACCATCCTCAATCATAATCCCCACCACTACCAATGACCACTATTTACTACCCTGAACCACCACCACCAACCAAAACTACCATCAACCACCGCCTCTAGTCGGTATTCACAAGCACTACCGTTAGCCATTACCACCAGCAACTATTATTTTAAAAAACTATATATTTTATTGATAGAATATTGGATTAATTAGTATTTCATTTGAATTTTATGTTTATTAATTTTCAAATAAAGGTAAATTTTATACCTTTAGATGTTAAAAATCAAACAATATTAGTTATTTAGTATTCAGATCTTAATACACATCTTAATCAGATTCAAATATTTTAATCTTAATACACATCTGATTAAAATATTTGGATCTGATTAAGATGTGTATTAAGATCTGAATACTAAATAACTAATACTATTTGATTATTAACATAAGGTATAAAATTTATCTTTATTTGAAAATTAATAAACATAAAATTATTCAGATGTGTATTCAGACTCAAGACGTGTTAATCTTAAAAAAAAACAAATGAGGCCTAAGTCACATGCCTATTTGACAGAGTAATAGCATGTGGTTTCATGTGGATGCTGCCTACGCTGGAAGTGCATGTATCTGTCCAGAATTCCGGCACTATATTGATGGTGTAGAAGAAGCTGATTCTTTCAACATGAATGCACATAAGTGGTTCCTGACAAACTTTGACTGTTCAGCTCTCTGGGTCAAGGTACAGTGCTATCTTCTGGTGTATTCCATAAACTAAATAGAAGTGCATGCAATTCCACTATTACGGGAGTACGTCGGTGACCTTCGGACATCTCCAAATACTCCTGACTGAATAGCAATGCATGTCATCTTAACCGATACTGGAAACAGCTTTATAGTTGGCCAGATTTTGTTTGAGTTGCTGCTTTGGTAATTCATCTTTTTAATAGTTCATATACTGGACACATACTTTTCTGGACACCGGAGATAACATGACTTTGTATATTTTGGGAAACTGGGCTTAATGGTATTTGCATCTGAACAGGACCGGAGTGCACTTATCCAGTCACTGTCAACAAATCCTGAATATCTCAAAAACAAAGTAAGTATCCTTAAGTTCAATACTCATATTTTCAGTTTTTGTCAGTAGAATAAATAACTATAATATCAGGAACAATAATATTATTCCACCTGATAAAATAAGGCTTATTTCTTGTTTATCAAAGTATGAACATGGAAATTGAATTTGTGAAATGTAATCACGCGTCAGGTTATTTTTACTTCCCCAACCAATAATGATCAGTGCTTGTGTTGCTTGATAGGAGTTTGGTGACAGCTCCCTTTCACCCTTGTGAAGACGGCTTCAAACTTTTATCTCCTTTTCTATGAATTGTTCTTTGCTACGCATATCATTGTCTTTGACTGAATGGATTTCTCTGCAGATCTGTAACTTAAATTTGTTTTGTAAACTTGTTATCTTGTGCTTTTGAGGCATCAGCTCTATCAGTTCTTTGGATCTGATAGCCAAACTGCTAATTAAAATGCTTTTTTATTGCATGAAACAAACTGTTTTTGGAGTTCAATATGTAACCTTTTTCCTTTGAAGTTATTTCGAAAGTAAATGTTACTTTTCAACAGGTTGAATTTTCTTTTTGGTACAACATTGTCGAATAGTTTAATCATGCATGATAACCAGTTTTCTTGTGAAAATTTTGCCTCACCTATAGTGATAAACTTAATAATCCAGGCTTCTCAAGGGAACTTGGTTGTGGATTACAAAGACTGGCAAATTCCTCTTGGGCGCAGGTTCAGGTATGCCATCAAAGTTGTATAAAGTTTGCTAGAAAATACTGATTTTGCTAGTTGCCGAGGTTATCGCACTATGACATGTGCCCTGTTGGTGCCTGTTGAATTGTATGCCACTCCTCCTAAAATTGTAAGTTGTTAGAGAGGAGACACATTTATTTATTTATGTTAGCTCTGCAACGAAGTCCTCACAGCTGTTACAAGTGGAAACATGCCTTAAAAGCGAAACAAGAAATAATGTGAAACACAGTGAAAGCATGTCTTAAACCTAAATGACTAATAATATGAAACACTGGACACTGAAAAAGTAGCATCATCTCTGATTATGCGAGCTGATAAGCGCTACTTCTCCAGGGGGTGAAAGAATTATATGTACAACCTGTTTATGCAGATACTATGATGGCTCTTGAAAGTTAGCCTGACAAAGAGGGTTTTTGAAGTACCTTGGACTTTAAAAAATAAAGTGATACCAGCTTAATGGTTCATAAGATATAGTGCTTGAATTCTTACAATTTTTCTGTAATTCAACATCATTTCAATTTGCTTTGGTAGGATACTCAAAGAACGTTCTTTTAGGAAGTTCATATGAACTTATTGCAGCATTCGGCTTCAATTTTCTCATATATCTGATTTGGTTTATTAACCAGATCATTGAAGCTGTGGATGGTATTGAGACTCTATGGGCTGGAAAAGCTTCAAGCTTACATAAGAAATCATATAGAATTAGCAAGGCGTTTTGAGGAACTCGTTGCTCAAGACCAGAGGTTTGAGGTAAAATTTTCATATCAATGCAAAGTAACCAATAAGGAATGTTGACTAACTGAAGTAGGGTATTTACAGGGACAGACATATCTACCTTTCAGAAAGGGGATTCCCTTTGATTGGTAAATTTCACTGTTTATACATGTCAATTACATGTTGAAAAATTAAAATTATGTATGTATTTATGCTATTGAACGTCGTTGCTACAAGAAATATCTTTACAATTGTGAGAAATAATACACAGGGAAAAATATTATTGATGTATTAACAACGATACAATGAGCCCTATATATAATACATCTACTCCTACTACATATAGGACTAGAACTAATTACATGTATACATATTCTAACACTCACCCTCAAGTCGGTGCATACAAATCCTATGTACCGAACTTGTTACATATGTAACTAATACGAGGACCAGTGAGAGACTTGGTAAAAATATCTGCAAGCTGATCATTCGACTTCACAAACTTTGTAGCAATATCTCCTGAGGAGTAAGGTTAGGTGCAGGATGTGAATCAGCTGGTCCTGATGCTGGGCGCCGCCGCCGCCGATAAGTCAAGATTAGTGTTCCTGTGGCTGGGGATCTGGGAGGAGCAACACTAGACTCCTCAATGGTTGGTATGAGTAAGACTTCTGTGGCTGAGGGTGATGGGGGAGCTATAGTAAACTCCTCAAAGGTCGGTATAGGTAAGACCTCAGATATATTAAGGTGATCAGAAGAGGTAAATGTTTAGACTCAAAAAATATGACATCAAATGATATAAGGTACCTACGAAAATCAGGTGATTAACAACAATATCCAAACACGAGAATAACCAAGGAAGACACACTTGAGAGCACGATGAGCTAACTTATCTTTCCCCGAGGCTAAGTTATGAACATAACATGTGCTCCCAAAAATACGAGGGGAAGAGAGTATAAGGAACGGGGACACAATACTGAATGCGAAATCTGATTCCGGATGGGAAATGAAGGCATCTGATTAATCAAATAACAAGCTGTGAGAACTGCATCGTCCCAAAAAGGCAATGGAACATGAGACTCAATGAGAAGTGTGTGAGCAGTCCCAATGAGATGCCTATTTTTTCTTTCTGCAACCCCATTATGCTGAGGGGTATAAGGACAAGATGTCTGATGAATAATCCTTGAGAAGTCATAAACTGCTGAAATTGAGAGGATACAATATTCTAAGGCATTATCACTGTGAAAAGTGCAAATAGAAACACCAAATTGATTGTTTATTTCAGCACAAAAAATCTGGAATATAGGAAACAACTCAGACGATCTTTAATTAAGAAAAGCCAAGTACATCTTGAATAATCATTAATGAAACTACAAAATAACGAAATCCCAAGGTTGAACTGATTCTACTAGGACCCTATGTATCATAGTGAACTAAAGAGAAAATAGACTCTGCATGACTCTCAACACTACGCGGAACGGTGGCTCGAGTATGTTTCCCAAGCTGACACGACTCACAATCTAAAGTAGACAAACTAGACAAACTAGGCACCATCTTCTGAAGCTCGGAGAAACTCGGATGTCCTAAACGTGTGTGAATTAGGTTTGAAGGATCTATAACTGGACATGTTGTGGAAGGTGAGTGAGTTAAGGTAGTAAAGGCCTTGTGATTCATGTCCTGTGCCAATCGTCTGTCCCCTACTCGGTCCTGCATAATAAAAGAATCATCAATAAAATATATACTATAATGGGGGCACAAGTCAAATGACTAACAGATGCTTGATTAAAAGGACAACCCAGGGACATAAAGAACGGAATCTAGAGTGATAGAAGATATGGGGTTTGCTTGTCCAACTCCTATTGCTCTAGTTAGGAACCCATTGGCCAAACTAACAGTATGAAGAGACTGTGAATATACAATATTCGACAAAAGTGATTTATTACTAGAGATATGATCAGAAGCGCTCGAGTCCATGGCCCACGGTCCAAGAGTACCAGACCGGGAAACACAAGCAAAAAATTACCAGCATCAGAAGTATCAGTCTGAGTAACCGAGGCTACTTGTGGAGATGTCTGCTTACTTGCTCGATATGGAAGGAACTCATTATATTCCCCTTCGGATAAAGAAAATCCCTGGTTACCTGTAGTCTCGGTCTGAGCAGTATAAGCATTTTTGTGTAGTTGACCATTTAAAGAATAACACACTTCACGAGTGTGTCCAAGTTTATTACAATGAGAACACTTGGGTCGAGATCTTCCAAAACGACCTCCTCCTCTATTCTCCATAGTTTGAAATGCCCAATTTTCCATTGTCTGGGATGCGAGAACAGAGGAGCAAGTGTATGTGATTAGATTACTGAGTGTTGCAGCAAAACGAAGTAATCGAGATAATAATTCATCAACTGTAGGGACAGTCGGAGTAGCCAAAATCTGGTACTGAATCAAGGCCACTAAGAAACATCTTCTGTCGTTGCTCTTGTTGCTTTTCAATGCTTGGCATCAACTTCTCAAATTCTTCCAGGACTGCCTGTACTTGTTCCAAGTAAGTAGACATATCAAATTCTTGTTTATTCAAGCTTGTCATTCACGATATCACATCATAGAAATGAGATAGTCATTTTAGTGTATGTATTGCGAGCCTTTTCCCAAACAAAATAACATGTTTGGAATGGACGAAACAAGGGCATCAGTTTGGGATCAATAGATTGCCACAAGATACTACCTAATTGAGCATCCATCTTTTCCTTAAGTGCTTTGGCCTTTTTATCTCCCTCACTAGCCTTTTTGGTTAAGTGATCTTGAACACCTTGACCCTTGCACCACAATTCAACCGAGGAAGCCCAAGCTAATTAGTTTTAACTTCCCATTAAGGGCTCTGAAGTAATCATGAATTTTTGAAACCCGTGTTTTTTTGGAACCAAATATATCAAATCCCAAAGACATCGTTGGATTGAAGAGGTCTAGAAACAAATAACAAAAATAATCAACTGTATCTCGCCGAAACAGGGAAGGAAACACTGTTTATGCCGGGTGCCGCAAAAAATTAAAAGTGATCGGAATAAAAAGAAAATATTATGAGTAGGCTCGAAATTACTTGGCGATCAAACTGTCCAAAAGAAATTTTTTCAAAATCTGGTCGGAACAGGCCTCACGCTCTGGCACGTAGGGCAGAGCGCTGTTGGAAACAGATCTCCGACAGCCGCGTGGGGGCGCGTCGAGAGGTCTTTGCCGGAGAATCTTCCTGGGGTATGGTCGCCTCTGTCTTGGGAACCTTGTGGTGGTGTTGGATTTTGCACAATACCAAGGGAAAAGGTGGGAACGCGCCCTAAAATGGTCGTCGGAATTGAAGCACGGCGGCTGTTTTGGCTGGGGTTTTCTTTCCCAGGTGTTTTTTCACTGTCGCTTTGCTACCATGTAAGAAATAATGCACGGAATTTTTTTTTTGATATATTAACAATGATACAATGAGCCCTATATATAATACATCTACTCCTACTACGTATAGAATTAGGACTAATTACAGATATACATATTCTAACAACAATAACGGTTACGGGGTTTCAAACTTTGTATAAGATCTCATGTTCATGCGTCGTTAGCTTTGAATCCCCTTCACTAAAATCTTGGGGTCCGGGATAAGTTATGGGGCTGCTATCCTATCAAATTTATCCCGTATATGCAGAATGTTGGATGACAGAAACTTTGGTTGGTCTTACATGTAGTATTTACCATTTACCAACATTAAGAAGGCTGTTTTTTCCCTACTTCCATCATGGTGATCCTTGAATTGTAACGATGATCATTAGAGTGAGAACTTATGGTTTTAACTAAATGAAAACATGATTGTGCAATGGAGACTTGTTTTTTGACTAAACCATATATTGTTGTACAGCATTATGCCTCTTTGTTGATTCATTTTTGATAGCATTTTCTTTTTTGGGAGATGATAGACACTTATTATTGTTGTTAGATAAGCGTCCTAACATCTCTTCTATATAAGAAATCTGTCCCCTGAGAAATTCATTGGCTGCAGATTGTCACCCCTCGGAAGTTCTCTTTGGTTTGCTTTCGCTTACGACCACCCCAGAGTAATGAAGATTATGCCAACAAACTGAACCATGACCTGCTAGATGCTGTTAACTCAACTGGGAAATTGTTTATTTCTCACACGGTATGTTTGAATTTTGCCAAGTATTTCCTGAGAACCTTGTTTTCGATTCAGAATTGGAGATTAAAATGATCTTCAGTAATTTAATAATATACATCTTACTTAATGTCAACAAATTGTGCAGGTTCTTTCAAATAGATACATACTACGCTTTGCAGTAGGGGCCCCACTGACAGAAGAGAGACACATTCTTGCAGCTTGGAAAGTTTTTCAAGATGAGGCTGCTACATTGTTAAGCAAATGTTAATAGTAAACCAATTATTTCACGTCATTATTAATTGATCACATTATTGAAATGTAACTTCTTTTGTCTTGTTCTCATTGACACTTCTATTACAGTATTTTACTTGAATGACTTTTCTGTTCCACTTTTAACAAAGCTTAGAATACTGCTGGGGTTTAACTTGCTATCTTTGATCACGCGATGCCACTCGAACTAAGAAGATCTTTAGTTCTGATGGTTGGCTGAAAGAATCATTTTTGCTTTCAATAATATATTAGTGACCCATTTATATCAGTTAGAGTAATATTTGTCATAACTGATATGATACTTTTCGAATAGCCTAAATAATTGAATTCTTATCACGAATCTTAATTAACTTCTTAGGGCTAATGAAATGATTATATGCATGATAAGAAAGGGGAGCGATACCTCGTCTATTAAATTAGACAGAATAATACTGCAAAGACTTGAGGATGCAAGAAGATCGAACTGTATGAGATTAGGATCATCATGAAGAGCAGAAAATCAAGGCACATTAGGTGCACACTGTATTGCAATGTAAAAGTGTAGACATCTGACAATAAATCTAACTCCGCACGACCAGCACTCTTAGGCTTTATCTAAAGTTGTATTTGATTTCCTTTCTGTTGTAACTTACATCAGTGAACTGCCAAAATTTAAACTACTTTTTATCCTAAATTCAATTTCCCGAGTTGCTGCGGCACGATAATCAAGGAGATGTCTTCTAAAGTGTGAATTGGTAGCTGGGGTTTATGTGGGGACACTAGTTAATGATAATCTTTTAGTAACAGCACAGCACGGGAAAGAGCTGTGTTGCTATTGAGATGAGTGAAATAAGTATTATATTACTTATTATATTCATGATACGCAGTAAAAGAAAGGGAGTAGTCATGCAGTCTCCAGTTGGCTTTCTGATGACATGTGTTTTCCCAAAAAGAAATAGATTAGACCATCACACTGACACAAGGGGCTAATACCGATCACATCCTTGTGTTCCACTACGCTTTACTCATCCATGGGCAAATCTGTCTGTGTCAAAGGCCCTCTACCTCCCACCAACACTTGTGTTACTTGCCCCAAGTTTTCACTCTATCCCTGTATAAAATATTTCTCTTTTCAGCCTCATCATAAGTAACAAACTGATCTAGTAGAACCTTGCATCTGGTTCACTCCGGTTAGCTTTCATTCTCTAGAACCAAGAACCAACCCTTTACATTGATAGCTGCAATACCGGAGGAGATGGAAAAAGGTATCCCGTTAGAATCTGCAAGTTAAATGCGTAGTGAACATAATGCAGTTTGTGGCAAATCTCCCATCTACTTTTTTAATGGATCTCAGCTGAATTTCCATGCACTTCCACTCAAAATTGGTTGTATCCACTGAAGTTCAAGGTGGGAAGTGCTAATCTTGTACTTTGAATTTTCTGCATTTGCGCACATTTGTTTGCCATTGTAGCCAGTCAAACTGTAATTCTCATCATTTGTGTATTCAAATTCCATTGCATGTGAAAACATCATATGAGAAAATGATCTGCATTCCCTTGAGGCTATAAATTGAGGTGGAAAATTGTGGCTATCTTCTGCTAAAATCACTGCCCAGCACCAGTTGTTGCTGTTAGTTGTGCATTTTGGCGTCCATAATTCGAGGTTGCTCCATGTATAAAAATATAATCTTCCTCCCAAATTGTATTCCTTGTATATCTTAGTTGATGAAGAAAAAGAGCTGCACCATTTGGTACATTGCAGTCCTTCGCTATGGCCAGTTGAAAACCATTGCCTCGTCCATGAAAAACTGGGCAGCATGTGCCTCTTCTGAATGTAAACATCATTTGAATCTTGTATTATCCAGATTTTTGATGGTGAGCTCAATTGTCCACGATCATGATGCCTGACAGTTGATCTGTTAGTTCATTGTGTTTTTACTTATGTTTCTTGTTTATTCTCGAACAAGAATGTGGGGTATATGTTTGCCTGTTGGAATCTGATCCTTTAGGTCCTGGTCCTCCTGGATATGGGAATTATCATTACATTTTCGACATACACATCATTCCATTTCCACTATTAAATGATTAAATTGTGGATTCTATAAAACTAGATTATCACTAAACTCACACTTACCCTTTAATCAATATATATGAGTTCCTAACTAGAACTAAACAAATAGTGAAATCTGCATTGATTCAAATAAATAACATGTGCTTTGGTAGAGAGCGCTTTACTTCTAAAGTGTGATTACTCGGCAGTGAACCGGGTGGGAAACCAAAAGAAAATGATACGGGTAGGTTTCTTTGGAAACAATTTCTACATCATGTTTTTCTTCCTACTCACTTGCTGATAAGGTTTTGGAAGGAGAAAAAAAGTTTAATTAGAAAGGTGGTAAGAATGGCTAAAATATTGTCTGCCAGTAAAGGCGCCCAAAAAATTCATGGTCTAGGGGAGAAATTATTTCTGTTGAATATGATTATGGTTTGTCCTGAGCTTGCATAAAAGGCACAAAAGAAATTGTTGCCTTCTATTTTGAAGTACATATTTGTGCGGTGGAAATTGGAAAGGGCTGCTATCTAGGAATTAGTTATTACGTCCTGAATTTTAGGAGAAATAGTTTTCTCCTAAATATGATTATATGTGCGCTTGCCCCTCAGGTGGGGTATATATAGGTTATGGCCGACAATGGCCCAATTTTCCGCTCTGTGTCTGAGAATGCAGCCATTTCGTCGGAATTGCCAAACAAAATTGGGCATCATATGGACGGTAAATGCTTACGCGCATTAGGTATTTATATCAATTCAATAAATGCATATATGTGTCACACATATAATTATTATTAAATTATAGTTAATTAATACGTATTTTTAGTAACTTTATCACTTTATTATGATAAATTAATATACTTTGGTGTAAATATCTGATAGAGCTGTCAATATGGGCCGGGCTGGGTTAGCCCAGTCCAACCCATGCGGGCTTTAAAAATTGCTGAGCTGGGCTAGCCCACCATATTGATGGGCCTTATAATGGTCAGCTCACCCCAACCCTATGTGGGCCGCGGGCCCCCACGGGGCGTCCCATTATTTTCTAAAATATAATTTATATTTTTTCTTAAAGTTCTGACCAAAAAAATGATAACTATTTGAAAGTTAAAAAATATCTTCTTGGAAATATTTTGCAAAACTTAATAATTTTTTATACTGTTTCAATATATCACAATAAACACTAAAAAAGTAAAAGATAAGACTATATTGCATTTACTAAAAGTCAAAACTCAAAACAAACTATTCAAGAAAATATCCATGACGCTTATGGGATATCCAAAACATCATCTTCATCACATACATTTGAATCCACTTGTGACAAGGTTGTCCTAACATCTTCATTTTTATCTACATCTACAATTCATGTACAATATTAATTAGTTAATTGATAAGAATAATTAAATTTTAAAAACTAATAATATTTAAATTCACAAAAAAAATATATTACCAGTTTGAGTTTGGGAAAAGCCATGCAGCCAATTTCGAGTAGTAACAAGTGTTTGGACATTTTCATGATGGATACAACTTCTGTACTTTGTAAGAACACGCCCACTAATGCTAAATATTGATTTTGATGCTATAGGGTAATAGAAAAACTAAGTACATCACGCGCCATCACTGAAAGATCGGGATATTTTCTAGAATGGTCCTTCCAATACGTGACAACATCCATCTCTTGAAACTTCTCAAGATCAAACTTTGGTTCCTCAAAGTAAAGATCCAGTTCTGACTTTCCATCGCTAGAGGCAATATACTTTTTATATTTTATATATTTTAATAAATAATTTTATTAGGCCCACGGGTCGGCCCAGCCCAGCCTCAGTCAAGCCTCACTGGCCACAGACTTATTTGGGCCGGGCTTAAAAGCCTCGTTTTTAAATGGAATCCAAAATTCTAGCCCAACCTTGTTAAATTATGGGTTAAGCTGGACTAACCCAACGGGCCAAGCCCATATTGACGGCTCTAATATCCGATGGTTAGATTTTTATCATCTATATGCAATGTTCTTCGTTTATTATAAAAGGCCTGTGGGTCCTGTTTGAAACAATGCTGACTGATCTTGTTGGACAATGTGTGTAACGGTTCCTATATTCAACCTCCGAATTTACTGTATTTTTGGCAAAGTCAAAATAAAAGCACTCAATGTGAGACAACTGAGCTGGATAAAGAACGAACATTTTGTATACGGTCAAATTCGGATTTGTCTATTTTTGTATGATTGACCGAAATCGGGGTGGAAGATGTAGGCTCGGCCTCGGTTATATCGGGTCATGGAACGGATATGGGTTGGTAAGCTTGTGGATCAATGGCTGATCAAGATCGATACCAGCCGTGGTCAAGACCGAAGTAAGATAGAAATCGAGCGAGATCGAAGGAAGCCTGCCAGGTCGAATAACAGAAAGCCAAGATATCCGTGATCGCACAAGGATCGTGGAGGAGATCTAGACACATATCAAGTCAGGACCGGTTATTTAGCCCATCATGGAATTTACTTCCGTAATTAGAATTATACCTTAAATAGGATTCATCTACTATATAAAAAGGGCCCAATCATCTTGTAAGGGGAGGGACACATTGACTGATAATCAAGCAATATACTACATCTTTCTCTCTTATATTCTCTTAAGCTTTACTATTCGAGTTCGTACTTTCTCAATAGCATATACAGTTGAATCGAAGGTGATTTAGCTTGAGGGCCACATTTGTTCATCACATTGGTTTGCTTTATTTTACTGCTAATTTCTATTATTAATTCTTACATTCATCAATTTGTGCCAAGTTAAATCACATATCCTTAAAACCACTTATAAGTTTAATTGTTATCTGATTTTAAGAGTAAACACATTGCTAATTGTCTTTTTATGCATGTGGAATCTCAACTCAAGTTGATTGCTGTGGAACATAAAACTTTACAATTTGTTATATGAACTATTTGAAATTAGAACGATTGAAATTAAAGAATAGTAAAAGTTGATTTATTGAAATTAAAGAGTAGAAGGACTTGATTTTAACATAAATATTCAATTCGAACTATAATATTACGAGTTAAGATCCAAAGTTAGATCACTGTCATGTGTGATTT